TTTGTTCATGAAAATCCGCCATTCCGAAATCGCAGGAGGGTCGGTGTAATGCACTACCAAAACGCCCGTAACTAAGAAACAAATGCTAATTCGATGATGCCGGCTGGCACACTGATTCATTATGAATGTAGGCCACACCCCCTAAAGGCAGAAGCTCGTACTACATCCGGTTCGCCCTCTATTGACACAGTCTTGAAACTTTCCGATTACACCTCGTACCATGTTGTCACTTGGGGGAAGATGAGTTATAACTCCTGTTCTTTATTAACCTCAGCACTGGGTAGGGGCGAGTGGTCAGCATCACAACCTGGCTCTAAAGTTCTTACCTCACATATTATGTAATATTGTTTAAAATTGAATCCTAACTTAGTGCTAAAGGTGTTTCATCATTTATTGGAATTATTTGGCCCCAATTCAGTTAGCAATGTATTAACACTTTCAGACCTGGCTAGAAATTAATTATACATTTTTTCACATGCCCATTTCATCTCAATAAAATTTTTGGAGATATTTTTGAATACCATGAAATATATAATTTTTAGTATGTGTATCTTTTTCAAAAAATGTTCTTCATCATTTATTATGTATTGACATGTAAGCTACAAGAACAAATGGTAAAAAAATACTACAACTGTTGAAATTGTTGGTTACATGTATTCATAGAATTGGGTCTGAAGAAGTCTTAACCTTTCCTTCAATTAATGTTTTCTTCAATTTGTTATTGATCTGTTCGATCAGAGGATTGGAATTTCCTTGCATATTGAATGGAATTCATAAAATTTCAGTTCTTGAGTACACAATCATAATGAAAATCTGCTGAAGTGTTTAAGTAGAGCTATGTGACTGAGGGTTGACTCTCAGTAGGGGCAGAGATTTTTTCCTCTACAGCAGCAGCAAAGCAGCCAGAATATGTTTAGCATGCACCTATGTTAGACTTGTGGGAAGTTACATATAGAGACCAATTGAAAGATGCATGAATAAATCTTTTGAGTGAAATTGATTACACATGAAAATATCATTCCCTAGAAACCCAGAAGTATTGAACACTGTTTGCTTAGAGATTCAGGGAAAGTAAAATAACTTGATGAATTAAGATGGCTGTCTTCTGGGTTGTAGCACTTATTAACACACAAGCATGCCAGTAGCCCTGCAAGATGTATAAGTATATAGGTGGTGGTATGTAATGTCAAGTTCGTTTATGATGTGTGTGTATTTAAGCTTGTAATTGTCCACATTATTCTTCTGAATTGTGAAATCTCTGCAGAAATACACAAGCTACAGATAAGAAATGTAAACTAAATCAGAACACATGGATTCCACGATTCTCACTAAACTATAACATGCGGCATGATAGTCGAGTTTAATGTATCCATGGGTAAATAATCGTTGGTGTTTGTAACAACAACAATGTCTTACTTTGTTGTATACAAAGTGGAAAGTCAGTTTTTGCATCACATAATCTTGTAATTTTCCTGTTGTGATTTTTATACTCCAGTAGTTGTGTCCTTATTTCCGTGTCCCTTGTGTAGTACACACATTTTTCTTTCACCATAATATTTAACTATATTTGTTAAGAACATGGGGATCTTTAAATGTTTTAAGTTGTACTGAACATGAGTTTATTGGTTTGTGTAATAGCAGGTTTACCCTGGTCAGCAACCTCCAGCTGCAGGAGGTCCTGCCACACAGATGTATCCTGGCAGTCCTCCCAGCAAGACCATGCCACCACCAGCACAGCATCCTCGGAGGCATCCAGACTTTGCTAAGGAACAGCCTTATCCACCATACCAGCAGAGGCCTGCACTTTATGGTGAGTTTTTGAATGACTGCTTTGTTGCTCTTTGCAAATATGCTTTTTGCGTCATTTTGAAAAATTGTATGTCATTCATTATATCATGTCACTGGTTGGTGGTTCTATTGCAAGCTTATTTCAAGTTAAATATGGAAATGCGGTTTTATAAGAGACAAGTTTCTTTGCATTTCTAAGCATTTTTATGGCCATGAGAACAGATTTCTCTACACAAAGTAGAGAGTAAAGGTTTTCATGGCAGTGAAGATGTCAGTGCTAGTTTTGTGGTTTATAACAGGTCTGCAAATGGCGACAGTGTGCTCCTCTGAAATGTTAGTATCTACCTACAAGTCCATATGTCATCACAACCCAGAAGAGCAACATTGACTGCAAAGAGATGTTGCAAAATTAGCACTGGAAATATGAACAAGATCTGCCAGACAGATTGCATGTTGTGAGAGTTTAGATGAAGTGCTTTGTTTTGGAGACCTGATATAGATGATGAGTGCACCATCAGACTTGCTACTGGAATTGTATGAAAGACTTTTAGCTTTGTGAAAAAGACTTCAGAAAGAGAGAAAGCTGATCCTTATAATGTGATTTGTTCTCTTCAGGATGGACAAGTAACAACTCATTTCGTGGACCATTCCCCGGTCAGGGTCCAGTGCCCCAGGGATCTCAGCCATGGAGCCAGGCTCCTCCTCGGCCAGCTGGGCCTCCAAGCAGTCAGCAGGCCAACAACCAGTGGGACCAACACCGCTACCCTTCTGGCACGCAGCCACCCTACCAGCCTTCTCAACAGGTTTGTTACTGTGGGTGTTATTTTACGAGCCTGTTGGCTCCACCTGCAGAAAGACATGCCCTCTTTTATGAATGTCACCAAGTGTGGATCTACACAGTCTCTAAAAATACAAAAAAGTCACTTCAAGAACTGGTGTTTCATAATGGAAGCGACAAATTTTTGTGATCAGCTTGTTTGTCTTATCAGCTCATATTGAGTTTGTGTTTAGATAGCAGTTCTGTAATGTGAAATTGTTGCAGGTATATGATAAGCTGAAAAACAGATTTGATTGTCTTCAGTAAGCAATAAACATTAATACATAACAAACATAAACATGTAATGTACAAACCACTAGAGTTACAAGCATAAGTTTTGCTCATACACATTCAGGAGCATACTGTATGTTTGTATACACATTGTTTATTTGAATCAAGACTAATTTATTTGAGTGCCCATGGTATTTGCATATGGTCCTCTCAGTGGCCAGTCGGATGTTTCTAGCTGGGCAAGATTACATGCATTTTAATGGGCACTTGATACAAGCAAACGTACGTCAAATATCGAGAAAAGATTCCTATTACATTTTTAGAAGAAGTAACTTTTTGTAACTAATAATTTTATGGAGCCAGTCTCTCTTTATAGTAGCTGTGGTAGAGATGTTTCTGTGTAACCTAGTATCATGTTCTACGTGTTGTCTCAGTTGATCTCACATTTGCATTAATAAATGTAAACTGCAAGACAGAGTTTTCCTTCTGCCTGATGTATTAATATGTATTTGTACAGCCGCAGCAGTGGGTGTCAAACATGCCATCTTCTGGAGTTAGTTCAGGTTCCCCTCTGAGACCGCCTGTGGGCCCCCGAACACAGTTTAGGCCAGAAGGAAAGCCGTTCCCAATGCCAGCTCCACCAGGGACAAAGGTATGCAACTCTGCCATCATATACATACATAGCTTATTAGCTGGATGTAGGGTCCCAAACCTTTAACTATCCATTACCATGAGCAGAAACGGAATACCATACGTAGTGTAATGGTTCACATTCCTCATTTGTACTCAAGAAATCTGTGGTTTCAGTCTTAGCCCATAGACCATCTAACCTGACTTGTTTTTTTGTTTTTGTTTTTTGTGGTTTTACTCAGTTCCTCTAAACAAACCATTGTGAACAGTTGTTGGCAAACGCTGGTTAACAGCTACTGCTCTTAGCATCTTAACTAGAAGCGTGGAGGTAATGGCAGAGATTTTATTTTTTTTGAATGTATCTTGATGCAGACATAGCACATTCCCGTCACTTGCTGTGTGCTGATAGTTCTCTAGATGCCTGTGACTACTGTACTAGGTTTGAATCTGCTCCAGCATAATGACTATCCTGCCCAAAGTTTTTACAATTTTTCTGTCCAGGCAAATGTTAGAATAGTGCCTTAAAACAGGCCTTAACTACTTCCTCCCCTGCCCTTTCCAGGTGAACATACTCGGACACTGTTTTTCCATCCAGCAATAAATTTTACAGTGTGAATGCAGAGTATCTGACTGCATTCCTTCGAATCTAGTCATGTGATGGGCTGTTATTGTATTTGTAGAATCCAGAAACATTCTGACATCTTTATGTGATTAAGCTTTGTTTCTAACATTTTAATATTTAAAATGTCATCACCCTTCCCAGTAAGTAGACTGAGTTCACCTCATGGATTTTACAAAACAGAAACTTTCCATGTTTGTAGAGGTCTACCTATGGGTTGATATCGCAGAGTTTCTCAGTTTCTATATTTCAGCTTGTTTTTATCACCTTCTTGTACTGTTGTATAAAATCTTTTGGTGAAATTCGTATAATCTTTAATTATTACTTCATTTCTTTTATGATTGAAATATGTAACATTGCCTCATTAAATGCATTTTGGCTGATAGTTCCATCTTATCAGACTGATGATAGTCAATGCATCACTATTTCTTTCCCATGATTAACTTAAAATTTCAGATTCCCATGAAATATGTTGCCATGTGATACAGAGTCTGTTTTTGTGTTTTCAGGGCCAGTCTCCCAACGTCGCAGGCAGTTCAGCAGCTTATCCTCCTCAGGCACCTCCAAAACGTGAGCTTGTGTTTCCACCTGACAGTGTGGAAGCCACAGTTCCAGTGTTATACAAGCGCAAGCGGATGTCTCGGGGTGATGTGGCACCTGTGGAGGCCTGGAGAATGATGATGAGCTTGCGCTCGGGCCTGCTGGCAGAGAGCTGTTGGGCACTTGATGTCCTTAACATCCTCCTGTTTGATGACTCAACAGTTGCTTACTTTGGTCTGGCACACATGCCAGGCCTGCTTGATGTGCTGCTTGAACACTTTAGGCGCAGCCTGGCAGACATGTTTGATGCCCCCTCCACCAATGACACTGAACGAAAGTGGTACCAGGTTCCAAAGCAAGATCACAGCGAAGTAGATTTGGGTTCAGTGAGTCAACCAATTGATCCTTTGGATCGGGTGCCCCTACTTGAAGCTACCCCAAATTACACCTTGTTGTCACGAAAGGGTGATGTCATCAAGGTGGTGAACAAAGACAGTGATATATTTGTGCTGGACAGCCGTAAGTCCTGGGATGTGGATGGTGACGTAGCAGAGGAAAATGTGACAGCAGAGTTGGAACAGGATCAGTGGCAGATGGTGGTGACAGATAGCAGCTCGACAAAGTACATTGTGACATGTTTCCAGGGTGAGTTTGGCAATGTGCCCTTCGTGAGGCTGCTACAGAACAAGGTCATGGAACAGGTTCAGGAGGTTTCTGATATGGAGGAAGCTGTGGTTGCTGACCCCCAGGTACCATGTAAGGTGAAAGAAGAACCATCAGTTGTTGAGAGTGTAAATACTGAGCAGGATCAAGAGACTTCTGATGTTGATAGTGAAAAACCTAATGTGATAAGTAAAGAGGACAGTGTTAGCAAAGAGTGTGTGGTTGTAGCACCAGGAGAGAGGAAAAATTGTGACAAGAAGAAACGGACTAAGACGTTAATTGGTGTGCTTTCTCGAATACAAAAGGAACCAATGGAAGTTAATGATGTGCTGACCAGAGAGATCCGCGAGAAGGTAGAAAAGAATGAAGTTGTGAAAAAGGAAGATGAAAATGAAGAAAAAGCCAACAATAATGATGGGGAAATTGATAAAATGTTAGAAGATAAAGATAAGAAGGATAAAATAGTAGTAGAAACCACATCTGATGAAACCATGGAGACAAATAGCAACAGCTTGTCATTGGAAAATAGCAACAGTAGTAGCAGTAACAGTGAAGTTTGCAAGACAAAAAAAGAGCCTGATGATGATGACAGCAGTAAAGCTAAATCATCTGGTAATGACAAGGTCACTGTGAAAGTGGAGAATAGTTCTAAGAGCCAGGATGGACAGGAAGACAATGGCTTGGGGTTGCGGATCCGGGACCCAGCGGGCACCCTGAAGAGACGCCGGATGTCTGACTATGAGGATGAGTGCTACACTCGAGATGAGGCCAGCCTGTACCTTGTCACTGAGACTCAAGATGCTCTAGCACGGCGATGTGTCTGTCTCTCCAATATACTTCGTAACTTAACATTTGTTCCAGGAAATGAGGTGGAATTTGCCAAGAATGCCACCTTCCTAGGGCTTTTGGGTAAACTGTTACTTTTGCACCATGAACATCCATCCCGCACGCACAAACAGCGCAACTATGACCGCGAGGAAGATGCAGACTTTGCAGATTCCTGCAGCAGTCTGCAGGGGGAGGCTGAGTGGTGGTGGGACTTCCTGCACCACATACGAGAGAACATATTGGTCACTGCTGCCAACATTGCAGGACACATGGATTTGGGCCAATACCCAGAGGAGATCTCACGCCCTGTACTGGATGGACTACTTCATTGGGCAGTTTGCCCTGCGGCCCATGGACAAGACCCTTTTCCCACTGTGGGCCCTTCATCTCCCCTGTCTCCCCAACGGCTAGCCCTGGAGGCATTGTGCAAGCTGTGTGTGACTGATAGTAATGTGGACTTGGTTATAGCCACTCCCCCATACTCGAGGCTGGAGCGTTTGTGCGCAGTTCTCACCAAACTGCTGTGTCGCAGTGAAGAACAGGTATTAAGGGAGTTTGCAGTGAACCTTCTGCATTACCTGGCTGCAGCTGACAGTGGCATGGCACGTACCGTGGCATTGCAGAGTCCCTGTGTGTCCCTGCTTGTGGCCTTCATTGAACAAGCAGAAGCAAGTGCATTGGGTGTAGCCAACCAACATGGCATTTCGGCCCTGCGAGAGAACCCAGACTCTATGGGCACGAGCCTGGACATGCTACGCCGTGCAGCAGGCACACTGTTGCACCTTGCACGTCACCCTGACAACCGCCCCCTCTTCCTGCAGCAAGAGCAGCGCCTGCTGGCTCTAGTGATGAGTCAGATTCTCGACCAGCAGGTGGCCTCCATCATTTCACGTGTGCTCTTCCAGTGTTCGCGGCCGCATCCTGAGCACATGCACTTTACTTCTCTGCACTCTTGTCTCTCCACGTAGTGAACAGATGGGAAGGTCAACAACGTAGGGGTTCCAGATACTTTGGCTTTACTGCCAAAAAGAGTCCCATACTCATCATCTGGGAAATGTTTGTTTCATAGACAACTTACATAGTGTGCAGTGCAGCAGAATGGAGAGATTGTCTTAACCAAGTGTTTAAATGGTTCCACGATATTGGAGCAAATAAAGGTGTTAGATTGCAGCTGAGAAACTGTTGATGATTATAATAAAAAGATTGACAAATCTCAATGAGGATACAAAGAAAGAATTCCCTGCAGTCGCTAAGCAGGTCTTGATATTTTGTAGATAGGGGGGGAATGAAAACTCTTCGGTAGCATCTTGAATCGTTAGGATTTTTGCAATCTGTATAAAGAATTATCACATATGAATTTGTGATCTTTCCAAGAGCTGAGTCTCCAGTTTTTCAGTCTTAGTGCAAGTAAGAAAACTTACTGCCTTGCCTTGTGAGTTATGTTCTCTTGTGTAATTGTGAGGGTGTGCGTGATATATAGTGTTTACTGCTACCTTAACCATGTACAAACACTACAAGCTGGAGACGGTCTGGGAAGTGAGGAGGTGTGAGGTTGATATTACGAGACTGAAGATACCACTTCCAGCTAACATGTGCTGAAACTTTACATAGTAATTAGCTTCGTAGACGAACAGGAGATTTATTTTTACCTTGTGGGAAATCAGTGTGACAAGTTTGGAGTTAACTGGGGCTGCAGATAATGGTCCAAATGGAGTTTCCTCTCACTCTGGACCACCTAGGTACAGGAAAGAGAATATCTTGATTTTGGATCAGCGTCCGCACCGATCCAGGATGGCGAGTTCTGGCAGGACAAACAAACAAATGGTTTTCAAAGACGAGGCCTCCGTGAAATATTAAAGATACACAAATATAAAAGGATTAGATTCTCCATAGAATAAGAACACATAGTTACTGAATTGTACCATTTTGTAAAATGCAGCGAGATGCCACCACATCAAAAAAAGTATTAAAAAAAAAAGGAACTTCAGTGTTACTTGTAATACCGATTTGAATGATCACTGTATTTATTATTTTGACCATGAATTATAAGTTTCATGCAAAGAGTGCGGACATGTGTGAACGAGATGAAGTGCATCAGGTCTGATGGGTGGATGAATTGCAGAATTTCTCTCAAGAAACAAATGTATAGCCCTTCCTACCTGCTGATTTCATTCACTGGAGTTGTCAGTCCCACCCTCCCAAGCCAGGTATCCCTTTCTCCCTATTCAACCTCCCCCCTAGGTTGCCCTTGGTCCTCATTTCATATTTGGTATTTACTTGTGCAAATGCTTTATATATGTCTGAATACTGAAAAATCAGAAATAAATGTACATAAGAAGTACTAAATAATATGTGATATTTAATGTTAAGTAATACATTGTAGGGTGTGGTGAACACTTTGTTTACTTCTTGACATTTCCACCCCACCTTTCCCTTGCCTTCCCCATATCCTGAGGTTCACCAGTCCTTTTTTTAATTGGTTGGTTGTATTTTGGCTGTTGAGCAGGTGATCACATGTATTAGAGTGTCTTATTTTGTCACTGAGCAGTCAGTGATTTTAAGGTGATGCTACCACTATTTTTATGGTAGAAGGAATTAAAGTAAAGTAAATGGCCTGCTGACCTGCGAACATTGAAATGTTTAAATTGAGTGAGATTTGGTCATATGCATTGTCCACGCTTAACATCTGCACTACATGGTAGTGATTTTTTACTTGGCTTGTCATGGATTAGTTTATACAATGGGATGGCAAAGCAGGTATTCCTTAATGAAGGTAAACCGTGAGAAATATAATCTCAACCAAATACATAATTATGGGTCAAACACCACTCTGTAACTGTGTTCTCTCCATTATTACACACATACTGCATGTACAATGGATACTTATGTAGGATAGTACATACACAGAGCATATACTAATGTACTCCCTGCTTTCTTCAGTAAGACAAGTGACATGACCACAATATGTGCTGTGTTTGCCTGATTCAGGCTTGATGGTCAAAATATGCTGATTGCCTGAAGTTGCCTGTTCTGTGACAAAAACTGAGCACTAAAAACGTCTTTTGAAGATCTTTTGGTGTTTCCCATGTGTGCAGTGATGTACAGATATTAATATAATTTCAGCTGTTGATGTTTATTAATTGTTTGGTTTTTGAAATATGAAAAATGCTGATTTCTAAAACTGGATTATTGTGCCTGTGAAGTCATGATATTCTTCTTCCTCCTTGATTGTTTCTTTGTGTTGCTTGTTATCCTACCATGCATTTGCATGTTTATTTTTTCAGTCTAACCTTATTATGAAAGGTGATCAAGAGTTGGGACATCAGGGATGCTTGATAGGCAATAAATGGAGATATATGTCTTTGAAATTTGATGATTATGTACACTGAGTTTTGTGAGAGTTTTAGCCTTTTGTAAAGAACCACTACTGACATTTTGACAATACTGAGGAAAATCATAACTTTTGCCAGGAGATAGGAAAGAATGTTAAAATATGAAGAATTTTTATGCATGATATTGCTTGTTTGTATTGTTTCACATCTTTGTTAACAGTACACAGGATTTAAAATATACATATAAGCATTGCAAGAAGTGACCAAACTTAAGGAGACTCTTAATCGGGTAATTTTGAACCGAAACTTCATGCACATGTTCCCAGTTCCCGTGCACTGCTATACAAAAAATAGTAGATACCATCAATTAAAAGCCTGTTGCATGGGGTGCTGTTAGAAATGACCATTCTGGATACATAGTGTTGGGTGTCAACTGGTGATTATATGGTAATGTCCTAGATATCAGTAGTTTGCATTATTCTTTGACTGCAAATCCAACAAATACCATACTGATGATTCAAATAATGTCAGTTCAAATGCTCAGATGGTGACATGTAGCCATGATATCAAAAAAGGTGTTTCAAATTTTGTACATCAGCTCACCATAAATACATTTGTTACTATAGTCCAAAGAATATATGTCAAAATGTGAGAAATTGTAATGGTATAATTTAGCTTTGTGGGCAGAATAAGTTCATACCATGAGAACAAAAGTAATGGTCATAGCTGTTTACATGTGACAGTTGTGCCTGCCTGGTTTGGAACACAACAGCATTACATGCATAGCAGGCACACTGTTAGATTTATTATGTTCCTTTTTTCATTATTATACTGACGTGCCAGAGTTCCCCAAGTGGTCTCTTCTGTAGGTTCTCAGACTAACATTTATTGGCATTTCCACATGCCCCACCCATCTCATCCTTAGTATCCTAGCTCTAATAATTGGTGAAGATTATACATACTTATGTTATAGAATAATGTTTTGCAGCATTAATTAAATGCTCGATGTGTTCATTAATTATTAGTAATTGTGGCACATGAATATTAGGGCTAATATTAGTTATTGTTTTTTTTAAATTAACCTGAAAAAAATAGAATTCAAAGGAGATAAAAAACTACCCAAGGATTGAAAGACCATCCAGAGAGATGATTAAAATGGTCATCTTTTGCATACATTGATAACAAAATGGAGAAATGATGGAACTGTTACATTGTACAAGTGGGGTTGAAGCAGACGTCGAACACTTTACTGCCTGTTACACCAAAAGTGGTACATTATTAAAATGTGACATTTCCCCTGATGTGTCACTACAGATAAAGAGGTATACTCAGTGGCGGCTCGTGAGTCTGAGCGGTGGTAGTGCTGTGCAAGGGGGAAAAATCAGAATACTTTTTCAACACATAACAATATATATAAATGAAAAGTAAATTTACATCAGAAGAAAACCCATACGTGCTCGACGATGTTTTAACTATTTGTAAGTCCGGAAGAGGGCGGCCATGATCAGTTCAGCCGATTAGTGTATAATGACAACGTAAGGTGTAATATTAAAATAGTGATATAGAGGAAATAAAGTGTTACAAATTATATAAACACAAAAAATAAATTTTTCATTTTCTAAAAAATTATAGATGGTGCTGCAGCTCTTATGGACGTGCAGACACTGGGTATACTTGAAATTAGGTCTAGGCTGTCTTTCGGATTAAAGAATCAGGCTACCCTAACTGTAATGGTACCTTCTGCGACATCTATAATCCAATAGTTCAACTGTTGACTGAATTCTTTGCTTTAGAAGCAGATGGATGGTTATTATCTGTGTAGAATGGTACATAAGCTTTGTCTCCTTTTTCACTGAGTACTTGTTTTCTAATCTTTGGCAGTTATGTGTTACATTTTATCTACGATTACGGCTTTACATGAACTTTCCCATCATCACTTGCGCATAATCAGGTTTTCTATTACGTACGTATTTTAAGTATGAATACATAGTGGGTCCACTCATGCGACTAAATATATTTCAGGATTTTACAATTCTATCTGTCGCTCTACGTAATTACTTAAAAATGTAATTCGAACAGTGCTTTGTTGGTATGCATGTATATGTGTATACATACATTCGTGGTTGCCGTCGTATGGTCATTCAGTGTGTTGTTCCACTGTCTACACATTTTTTTTTTAACATCATCCTAATATCTTGAAGCAGAGTATAGTACATTTGTTTCAGTGTGAGAAATATACACATATTCCATTTCCTTGGTTATATCATTGTCATATTTGTTAATTAACTATTCCAATTTCATTGATTCAGCCTCTTTTCTAATGCCAACCAGGGTTGTTGGTTATGGGGTGTGGTCTGGTGAGTATGTGTGTGTGAATTCCTGTGTTGAGTTTGTTGTGATTATGACGGCATAGTTTTTTTCTGAAATGTATTGCAAAATTTCAGGTCGTAAGACATTTTCTGTTGAGTAGACGTTTGCTTCCATAACATTGATTAATTTTTATAATATTCCTACAATCGTTTAACCGACTTCGGTTATTGAAAGTAAGTATGCGGTTTTTGTTGCATAGTACTTTTAGAAAAAATGGCCTAGAAGCAACAAGGCAACAGGCAAAAAAAAACTTTATTGAGGTATAGTGATTCTTTACCTTGTGAAATACTGCAAATCTAAAATTCCACACTTGAATAATGAGTTCTTGTTTGTTTTAGGTTTGCTGCCATAGAGTACATGCTCTGCAGATGCTGTTAAACTGAATTTGGAAGTATCAAAATGTCACATGTGATGAGATTACCAGATTCATGTGGGCATAAGTACTCCAATCCAAGGTTTCCACCCCCAAATGTCAGACTTCCATTTCAGCACCCCACTGACCATAACATAAACCAGCCTCCAGTATCTGCAAGTTGCTTCCCACCAAGTGTCCAATACTCACATAACACAATTCCAAACTGTGTTTCGCCTATGACACCTTCCTCACTTCCATGTCCAAACCCAATGTCATTTCCTCCACCACCATTTCGATCTCAGGAACCTAGGGCACCACCATCCCAACCAGTGCCAGTGTATAGTGAGGCCTCACCTCTATACAACCAACTTTTTAATGTGCCCCCTCCACATTCAAGTCCCTGCCCTGAAACTCCCTCACAAGTCTTTGTCCCTCCATACCCACCTCCACCTGTTCCAGCAACCTCCTTCACTGAACGGCTGACATTTCCTTACTGTGTGGACCCAGTTGGTACTGAGCGCTGTAATTCCTTCCACCCTCCGAGTGATTCATGGCACAATAATGTGCAACCTCTGTTACCCAGCATTCCTCAAAATGTGCTGAACCACCAAGAAAGGAACTCAGAGGCTGTGATCACATGTGGAGGCAGCAACTTGAAAGCAGCTGACTTTGTGGACATTCTTCCATACAGCAGGGATGAATATCCAAGGTCCCTGCCACAGGGAATGCGCACACAGATTAGTGATGAAAACACATATTCAAAATACAAAGACAGAGACAGGAGTGTGTCAAGGAGTAGCTTTGATTATAGGAGGAATTCCAGCCATCCTGAATATGAGGCACAACAGTGGGGTCACTTCCGAAGACAGAGAAGTCAGAGCCCACTTCATGGGATCTCACCACAAAGGAGGCGTTCACGAAGTCCTAAGACTGTAAGGAAGCGGTCAAGAGACAGTTCTCGAAGTTCAGACCAAAGACCTCATACAAGAGACTATAAGTGGTCGAGGGCTTGCAGTT